CGGCAGGCCGCGCTCCCAGTCCTCTGTGCTCGCCAGGAAAATACCCAGCGTTTTTAATGTAAAGACATAGTTACAGTTTCATCACAATGTAGGCTTTGAAAATCTGAAAGGTTCCGAAAAATGGCTCTCTCGCGCTATTTGGCGCATGACCGCGAGCTGATCGTGCTGTCAGACTCTGAATTTTCCACCAGCTTTGAATCTGCTTGCCCTTTTCTGACATTTTTGCTGCAAGGCATGAAACGGGTGTAGATAAACTCAAAATGTGGAGAGGGTGAGCGCGAAGGGCTTGCAAAGAAAATAAATAAATGCCTTTGAAATGTGCCCCGTGGTTCCCTCTGCCTTCCCTTCCAGCTGCCCTCATTTGTTTCATTTTGAAAGTGAGTACGTTAACGCCTGCACAAATATATGACCTGTATAAGTAAGGAATGTGCGATCTAACCCAACACAAGAGGAAGGTGCTTACCGACCTGTGAACGCTGCCTGCCGTCCTTCGAGGCCCGCGCTCTGCCAGACAGGGGCGAGACCAGATGCGCAAGCCCGAGAACTTCCGGGGCAGAAAGCACTTTGAAGCATAGCCTAGTGCTCCACCCAGGCCGCATAAAGTCGTGCACACTTTGAGGAAATAGATACCTGGAAAATATTTTATTTCTTGTGGAATAAGCAGGTTTTTCTCCTGATAAGGTGACCCAAGACAAAATAACGCAAAACACAGAGGTATAGAGAAATCTCTCTACTGAAAAGTAGTCCATTTTAATTTTAATTATTCTTATTGTTTAACTTTGAGTAACTTTTAGTCTTTTTCACAATGCAGTGTAACATAGTTATTATTACAGGACCACACGTACAGTAGAATCTCATTAAAAACACCGTTAATTCCACACTCTTGTTAATTTGGCCTAAGTTCAAGGAAGGCTATGATAAGAACATGAGGAAGTGAATCTTTGAGAAGATATTTTGGAGCTAAATACTTTACCGACTATATGAAAGAATTAGGCAAATTAATTGATTTTATACAAATGCTTGTTGATACTTGAAATAATATGACCATACTTGGAAGCACTGATTAGTGAAGCTTTTCACCCACTAAGCCAGTTTCCGTACTGTGCACAAGGAGGCAAAGAACATCAGGACCGAGGCGCGCTGTGGTGGTATACAGGCCTAGCAGGAGCGGGGGATGAGAGAACTGCAGCTGGTGGCGGCGGGCGCTTGCTCCTGGGCCTGGGGGTATTGGAATAGGTGTAACAGGCACAACGCTGTACCAGCTCTCAGCCTGTCTCGCAGTGATCCTGGTTTGACGACAGGAGGTTAGGATTATACAGAGGCATAGAATGTTCAAGAAAAGCAGGCAGTTACGTGACTCAGAAGTTGCAGGGTCCCAGGATGAAAAAGCTACTTAAAGATTTAATAACAAGGTGTTCATTTTTATTAAAGGGCATTTCAATTGATATGTAGCATGTAAAAAGTATATACATTTATAGGTGACCTTGTGGTGTTTCAACACAGGTATGTGCTGTGCTTGATTAAATTAGGGTAATCAAGCCGGGTGTGGTGGTGCATGGCTGAAGTCCCAGGACTTAGGAGGCGGAGGCAGGAGGATCAACGTGAATTTGATGCCAGCCTGGGCTTCATAGTGAACTGAGGCCCTGTCTCAAAAAATACAATAATAAGTAAATTAGGATAATTATATCTGCCTTTCTATCCACTTGTCATTTCTGTAAATGAATGTGGAAATGGCAAGCTACCACACTCAAAAGATTCAAACACTCGAAATTGCTTCTCCTAGCTGTTTGAAATATATAGCTTCTCATGTTTATGTACAGGCACACGAAGGTGGGAACTTTTTTTTTTTGCAGTACCAGGGATTGAACTCAGGACCCTGCACTTGCCTAGCAAGCGCTTATTCTACTGATCTATTTCCCTGGGCCCAGGGGGGAACTTTACTAAGTAATAAAACTAATCATTTTATTGTTATTAACAACAATAAACATGTTTACAAGCCTCACAGCCAATGCTTAAGGACAAGTTTTACTATTAGGTATGGGCCAGTGGTGACAGATTTTAACTGAGACACTCATGCAGCTAAGTGCCTCTTGGAACTCCACAGCTTGAAGACTGTGCAAGCCCAGTAAAGCTTTAAAGGGGCTGGATGGACAGAATTACTTAGAAGCAGTTACATGAACAGGCAGCATAGGAAGGAGTGGTGTGCCAGAGCCAGAGCCAGAGCCAGGTCAGAGAGGACCCGCTCCGCTGCATGGCGGCGTGTGCTGTTCCTTCAGTGGTGTCACCTTCTGCTGAGCCATCACCCACCCAGAGCAGCATGACCTTCTGGATCAGACCCAGCACATGGAGGCAAAAAGGTTTGCTTTTATAGCAGCTCATTTTTGCTTCAGACCTGAATAGAAGCCAAAATTGAAAAACTAGTCATTAAAATAAATACTTTTCTGCTCATAGAGTAAAAATGAGTCAATAAGGTAGAAGCATTAATTCTCAGTCCAAGCCACTTGTTTAAAATGATTTTCTGAAACACACTGTGATTCATGAAGCCAGGCCTTTCTGTCCCTCACTCTTGTATTTTGTCCTTTCCCACTATTCTCTGAAAAGTTAGATGAGAGACTTAAGAAAACTATGCAACTTTGAGAATAGAGGTATTTGCTCAATCTTTCTCAAACTGCAGAACCTCCTGTATTTCTTTAAATCCTGAAATAAAAGACAATTGTTGTGGTAGGAGAAAATAGGAGAAAATGAACTGAAATCTTGTATGCTTTCTCTCTCTCTCTCTGTGTATGAGAGAGAGAGAGAGAGAGAGAGAGAGAGAGAGAGACAGACAGACAGACAGACAGACAGACAGAGAGACAGAGAAAGACAGAGAAAGACAGAGAAAGACAGACAGAGAGTCAGGGAGACAGACAGAGTTTTTAAAAATGCAGGTTTCCAATGATTTTTAACAAATGTTGGCGCTCTTTACTTCCCAGTTCAGGGGCCTGTGTGGAGCTGCGTGATAGCTGTCTCGTCTGTTCCACGTCGCTATGTCATAACCCTGATAAGACGCCCCCCTGCGGTGGAGAAGCTGTTTCTCATTTCATTTTTTTATCCTTCTCCATTTTCACTGTTGCTCAGCAAGCTTTAGGTCCCAAACACTGAGGCCAAGAATAAAGGACAGCAGTTCAGCTCTAGCCTGGCTCTGCTATTGGATGAGTAACAGCTGTGCGTGCTGCCCAACATCATCGAAGGCCATGAAATCTTTCATTTTCACTTGTTACTTTTCCCCAGTTCAGTGTTCTGGCCTAGACTTTATACAGCACCATGACTTTAGGTACAGCTTTCTGAGCAGTGACTGATTTAAAACAAAACACCAGATTTTTTATATACTTCATAATGCTCAAATTGACCGGAACTGTGTGTCTTCCCTACCTCTCCCTGTGTAGTAAATTGGTGAGAAAGATCAGAAAGACGTTAGAGAACCCCCTTGAGAAGGCGCTGTGTCTCTTGAAGTAATGTTCAGTTGTCACTTTGGAAGAGAACATACCACACCTGAAACAACAAAATGAGGCCACGGTAGACCTCGGTGTCCCTGAGCCAATTCCGTTTTACGAATCGAGGCACCAAGAGCCAGAACAGACCGGCGGTGTGCGGGCCATGCGCAGCATTCGCGGCCCTCGGCGTGCCAGGGTTGGATTTCTCCTTCACTATTATGGACCTTGTAATGGCACCGATGGAAAGCAGCTCGCTGCCGCAGGACAAGGGACACTCCTGCTTGACCCTCTGGGTTTTTTTCCCATAATTTTATTGATAAACAAGTAGCATTGAGACAGTTTCAAATCAAATTGGTAGGACAGTTTCAATTATCAACACATTGCATACATTCTTCCTAGTGGTTAATTGCTGTACAAGATGCGGACATGATATCCTATTTACAAACACCATTAGAAGAAATCCCTCTATTCATTAAGAGAATGTAACTGTGTATCTTAACCACTTTGAATACACAGATACAAAATGGACATTCATCTGTATCCCCTTTTTTTGTTAAGTTCCATTATTTGAATATGATAGGTATGTAAACTCAGCAAAATATTCCAAAAGAGTCCAATAGTCCATAACAGTATTGGGTCTTCCGCTTGACTGGCAATGTCAGAAATTGTTGACCTGAGTCCCCTACAGCTCAACATAACAGCATGGCTTTACTTCTTATATTTCATTTTTATACTTTTCTGCTGGCCTTCTGTTTTGCCCTCAATCTTGAACCAGCACCTTGATTTAGAGAAGCGCATTTTCTAACTTTTTTGTAAATATCTTTGTTGTCTCTGATTTCAATTAAGTATAACATAGATCTTGATCTTAGAGTTCCAGGACTAGAAATGATCATTTTCATTGCTTATTTCTCAGAAATTTGCTTAAAATTTTAAAACCCTACATATATTCTGGAAGTCTTTCCTGTGGACGTAGACAACGATACCCTTATCTCAGCTGTATATTTTAAAAAACTCATAAAATAATGTGAAAATGTACTGAAAGTGGTTCTAACTGTATAAGCAGATTGAAAGAAAAAACTGCTAAAATTTCCTGGCCCCGCCAGACGGCAGACAGCCTGTTACACATGTGTAACATGCCAGTGCATCACCGAGAGGCACATACTTCCTGAATAGTATATCCAAATACATGACTAAGGTGAATACATTGTGGATTTATCTCTTTATGAGAAACTTTATTATGCTAATTGGTCATCCTGGCCCCAGAGTAGACTGTGTGAACTCAGATACCTTTTCTCCTGAACTCTCTTACTCACAAGGTATTCTGCCTCCCCTTCCTCTGTTCTTACTTGTACACAGTACTTGTAGCCTGGGGCTCTCTTTCACATACGTTTCCTTCTTTTCTTTGCTTTTTTTTTTTTTTTTTTGAGCCGGGGATTGAACTCAGGCCCTTGCGCTTATAGGCAAGCACTTATTCTACTGAGCTATCTTCCCAGCCCCAAAAGTTTTCTTGTTAAACCCAATTTTTCACAAAATGTAAAATGGAATTTATTAAATTATTATTTGGGATTTCGGAACCCAAATAATATATACCCAAATTTATATCCTGATGTAAAGAGGTAAGAATGCTGATTAGAAAGGTGGATGCCCTGAAACTTAGATTCTACAATGTTTCCGAAGCCAGTCTGTTCTCTCCAGCAGAATATGCCTTGACTCTAATGTGGTTGTGTGTATTTAGAAATCCAGCAAACTGAATCCTGAGTGTGGAAATGCGTTTCTCCTTCCAGGCGCTTCCGCCGACAGGACGTCCGGCACGGGAATGCGGCGCAGCAGTGCGTGGGGCAGCAGTTCGCGGGTAATGCGTGAGCTCGAAGGCCGCGAGTCAGGCGCGCCGCGGAGGCGGGCTGCGCAGCTCCAGCAGCGTGCGCTCGTTCCTGCTGACTGCAGTGTGCGAGAGCGAAGTGACCGGAGGATTTGCCGTCCTCTTTCATAGAGTTAAAATGTTCCGGATTTCAGGTGTGAGGTGACATATGGCCCACAATCAGCTTGCCGTGCCATCTCCTCGGTTCCTTAGTGCATCTCAGCACAGAGGAATCTTAGAATGAGGACCAGCACACAGTAGGGGCAGCTGCCGCGATCATAAGCAGGCCTCTGGCTTTCTCCTTAGTGGTTTTAAGGAATGTGAATAACCGGAGTCGATTCCCCGAGGTAACTGCAGGCTAGGGCGGAGAGCTCTTCCCCAGCTCGAGGAGGACCTACGCCCAGACCTGGAGGTGCAGGTTTGGAGTGGGGAGGTAGGCAGTCTGATGAGCTAAGGGTGAGAGGAAACTTCAGCTTTGGGCAAATGTAGAAAACTGAACAGGACGGAGAAGTCGCTCTCCCGACCCTTGGCCTCAGGAAGGATGATGGGCAAGCCGTGTTCCGTGTCCCTAGGTTCCACAGGAAGTGGCGGGAGGAAGGGACCTGTGATGAGCCTCAGTGTGGCTGT